ATGGACAAAGATACAGCGCCAAGCGGAATGGAAATTGATCACTGTTGTCAACTAAATGCTTATTTTTAGAAGATTACAAAGAAGGTTTGTTTTTTTCCAATTGTAAGATCAAATGATAATATTTTGTTTTGTTCTTTATATTTCATAAATAAATATAATGGATTCTTTGATCGAATATCTATGTTTGTTTTAAACATTTTTATCCTTATACCGTATAAGTATGCATGGTGTCCAAAGATTTTTGACCGGCAGTGTATGTTGCTAAATTCTTCAATTTCAACTCAAATATTATGCAGAAGTACTGTGTCCAGAGTCTACGTAATCAGACTAATACTATCTTTGATTCCTCGTCCGTGAGTCAGTTCGGCAATGCTTTTCATTGTCCTTATGTCTGTTCAATGCATATCTATCCATTGTTGTCCATGTTTCGCTCCAAAATTTATCCGTTCGTCGAATTGTGAAAAATTCTCGCGTAAATTGTTCGTACTCTTTAGGTGTCATATTCTTTCGTAAAGCTGTCACATCTTGAACATATAATTGTATTGATTTTGCGAAAAAATAATCACATCATGAAAGAAAGGAAGCATTTTTTGAATGGTTTGCCAATTTCCTGATCTTTCTGCCTCGATAAATTGCTTGACGAGTGTCACCATGCGAAAATATTGCACTCATAATTTTGCAGTTTCATTTTCAAATTTTACGAGTAGCTGTGCAAATTTATCCTCGAATGTTTTATAAAAAGACTGATCCTCTGCAATGAGAACCACTGATCTGTTTATGTCACCGAGAATAATCATTACTGCTTCACTTCTTCTTCAGTGAAATCTATCAGTTGAAGTGCAATTTTTGCAAGAGTTAGGTGAATTAATTAGACATGTGAGCTCTCATCGCACGTGTATATGCATGGCCCGTCATCATTCTATCTATAAAGTTTGATGCATAAATTGTAATCAGAAGCTCCTTTAGTCTGTTTCCAATCATAACATAATCTATACATCTCATGAAAGACATTAATAAATGGAAATCACTCAATCTTATCACGTAACATTTTCCAAGTTCAATTCCGGACCGTTTGTCGAAACGATATCTTGCGCTTTTATATAAAGCGACTGGTCAAATGTTACGAAACATGTTTGTTGATTTGTAGTTTCACATTTTTTTGCAGCAATTTTTAATACTGTAAAAATTGTATCATAATCGCTGGAGAACGCATTAATAAATGGCAAGCACAGTATTTTCGTTTTATGAAATAATTTGTCTTTAGTTACTTCTTCCATAAAACCATTCCATTTTGGTATAAAGGGCAAATCGGCTCATTCTCCATACAGCCCGAGCAAATCCGAAGATGACAAAAGTTGATTGGAAACTGGATGAATATCTCCTAAATTGAGAATTTTAATTGCTTTCAAATCAGAATTTTAATTGCTTTTCCTTCTTTTTCTCAAACGCCATGAGCGGAACGGATCCGAAATTCCCGACAACTTCAGATGTTGGTATTGTTGTGACGTTCAATTTTTTGATCAGAAGCAACAGTTGTTGAAGGAGTCAGATATTGGATTCCGCCCATTGCATGAAATGTATTCAAGCTGTCCAATATTTGCGTATTGAAATCTGCATTATCGAATATAAACTGTGAGAATGACTGAGAATCAATTATCAGTGAACGCATTATAACAGAGATCTCCAAATGCACTACTTCCTGATACGATGAACAGAAACCTAAAGCTGACAGTATTTCGTGCGTACTTTTTGTTCAAAAACGCTGCGAGTTGCAACACTTCGATTTGCAACGGCGACAAATACAACGGGATCTTGCCGCGCTGATTATAGCATGTGCTATACTTGTACACTTTGTTTTCCACTTTTTGTGAGAACCAACTTTTTTACTTACTATTACTTTCTATTCGAGGAAGACGTTCAAACTTTCCGGTACAACAGTCTTAACATTTTGCAGAAAATTGTCCGATGGAGAGTAATGCTTTATCTCGTACACTTGTAAACGAATATCCTCTAGTACATATTATTGCCGCTGCTTCTTTCACAACGCGAAGTCGTTCTTCCTCTTGATTAGATTTTCTTTTTGCGTACCACGTGTCGATAAATATTTTATATCCGTATTACGAAAACAAACAACTGGAGACGATTTCTTCCCGACATTAATATCGTCATCATACTTATCCAAAAATTTACTTTTCACCGTTCTTATATCTGGATGATATTCATTGTATTTGCGCCATTAACTCCTCGATAGTAAACTGGCATCTAATGATAACTTCTTCGGCATCTATGCATAAATATATTGCATCACTTGAGCTATGTCCAATAACGGCTAACCTTGTTTCTGACCCGCTTTCGGTGGTGCATACAATTTCTTCATGCACGAGTTGTAATATCTGGTTTCAACTGCAACCTACTGCTTGATTAACAATTTGGTGATCAATGATTTGGCGTATTCAATCGTCATTGTGCTTCAAAGCAATTTTTAAAATTATATTTTTTACCTAAATCTTTCTCACCTCATAAACAATGTCACGTTCGGCTAGTTTTGTTTTTTTCTGTGTGTTTTTTCAAAAACTCCTCCGTTATTTCTTCTGCGCAAAGAAAATATCCTTTTTTAAATTCGAAAGTTGGTACAACAGAACGTAATGTTATTCTCAGAGTGCTAGTACTACCGCCTTTGCGCAAAAATGCAACGATGAGTTTTTCATTATTATACGATTTTCGGCATGCCTCGTGAACACGCACAGATGTTCGGTCTTTCAAAAAGAACTGCTTCTGCTCTTTTCCGTCCTTTTTTTTTTACTTGATGTTTGAAAAGTCTTCACGCTTCTCTCTTTCATTTTAACCGCATCACTCCCTAACAACTGTTCACAAAAGCACTTTTCAACATCAGCCATCGTTTATAAACACGCTCAATTCGACAATATACAAAGCGCACGTCGAATAGTCGAACGTATACTAAAGTATGAGATAGATGAAATGAAATATTCTCGACAATAGTGTAAATATGTCCAGATCGTAGTATATTACGGGATCACGTATATGATCCAAATTCGTATATTATGAAAGACCGAGATCAGTTGACTATAGAGGTAAGTAGAATAATCGAGACTACATTAAAAACAAAACACGCGTAAACGTGTCTGAGCACGTAGCACGACTTCCGCTCAGTCTGCTGCAACATCTTGTTGCGAACACATCTATGATAAAAGTTACGCTACAATTTAAAAAAATCATACATCTAATTTTAAGTAAATATTTTTATTTTTAAAGTTTTTACAATTGTATATGATTATCTAAGATATTTGACATCTATAGATAGTAAGTCTATAGATAGTTCTTACTTAATAAAGTCCAACAGATTTTTTTTGTTTATATATCTTTGTTTATATATATTGTTAATGTTTTTAAAAAATGAACGGATGGGGTAGTAGAGTAATCACAGCATGGAACTGTATGAATCATTTAGTGTCGACTCTTACAGTATTTACTCAAAATTTTATTTCTTTAAAAAGATTTTCCTCTGCGATAAGTTCCCTCATGTCCAATCTCGAAAATTAGGCTCATTCGACGTGTTTTTGCACGAAATGAACAAATTTTGCAAAAAGAAACATTGTTTTGTCCTGCGAAGCGAATTTGTGTAAAATATATTTTTATAAAAGTTTTATTATAATAATATGTTTAAAATATATTATAATATGTTTAAAATATATTTTTATAAAAGTTTTATTAATATGTAACCAAAGATGTAGCTTAAATACATTAATCTTTATTTTAATTATCTTAGTCAAATTATCCCGGTCCCGGAACTAGTTGAATCAGATGGAATGCATTAGAAAAATGTATTTTTTTTTATTAGTTATTAATTTCCTCTTATTATTAAAATATTATTGGGTAGTCAAATGTATGTAGTAACTAGTGTAGAATTCATTTTTTCGATAAGTTTTTTAATTTTGTCTGTAAAAATTCGAAATTAAAAAATGGATCTATTAGCTTCGGTCTTCCCTATATACTCGTATTATGCATGTGTTATGTGTTCAAGCATGTTTTTTTAGCGTTCTAGCTTTAAAAATATATATTACACGAAAAACTTGATATGAAGATATAATTTGTAGAAGATTTACACAGCTTTATTTTTGAAAATAACTATTTTTGAGGTAGAAATATAACGACAGATATTTCGACGAAACTCCGAAAAGTGCCATTTTTTTACTGTTTTTTCAATATGGTACTGGCAGCAAAAAAAAGGTGGCAAAACATTGACTGCAGTTCAAGATACCCCAAATTATGATCCAAATATAAAAACTCCTGCATTCACTGTGATCAAACAGAGTTTCCATTGTGAGGTAAAATAACACCTACACACACACACACACGCGCGCACACTCACATGACACACATACGCTCACGTACAGTGTTTCTTGATAACTGCAGGGTGAGAGCAAATTATACTGCACGATTTCAATTATGTAAAAAAATAGGTGTATGTATGAATGAATTATATAGTGCCTTATAATTCATCCGATAGGTCTCGTGGACAGATAGAGCGGACTAAACTGAGTCGAAAAGTTCTCTACTGTTTTTTAATTTTCTCAATAATTAAGATATAAATTACTAAAAATTGCCGAATATTGGTCTTCAATATTTTTTTTTTTCTTAAATACTATCAACTTTACAGAAAAATAGCAAGAGGAAATTATTTTCTTCTCATAAAACTCTAAGAATTTTTTCAGAATTTTTCATTAATTTTTCAGTATTGCATATTCTTATTTTTACATGAGAAAATACAGTATAAAAAAATTCTAAAAAAAATTCTCAAAACTTTATAAATTTTGACTTTGATCGGAAGCTGTCAACTTATAGATTATGCGTACATCTTCTTCTTAATTTTTATATAAATTTTTGTTGATATTTTTAATCTCTGGAATTAACAATCGCGAAACATTTGTTCACATTTATTGTACTATTACCTAGCACTTTGTAAATATTTTATACTTTACCTTCTGTTCTAATCCCTGTGCTGTTGTACTGCATCTATCCCTTTCTTTCTCTACAGCTTCTATTTGTGTTTTCATGTCATTGATAGTTTGTGTCAGTGTATCCAATTCATGTTCTATCCTTTTTTTGCCATGTCCACATAATGATAGTTCGTGATCTAATTGCTTGATTCGCTCATATGCGGTCTCTTTGCTAAGAGCAATGTTATTTTTTTCTCGTAAAAGATTTTTGATACGTTGCTTGTCCTCGATTTGTTCCTTGTGACAGGTTTGAGCATCATTTTCAACATTCTTGAAATTAATCAGAGTTTGCTTTAATTCACGCTTCAGTTTAGATTGTTCAGATTCTGTTTTCAGCAATCGTTTGTCTATCAAATCCTTTTCATGTTTATATTTGGCGATGTCCTCTTTTGATCTAAAATATTTATTATTTATCGTAAAATCGGACTTGTGACAATGATACAATAAAATATATAATACAATCTGTTTTACAAGACACCTCGAAATTCAACAAAATATCAAAAAACATGGAGCTATGGGAATCAGGCACGTTAATTTGTGCGTAAAATAATTATCTTTTTTAAAAATAAATAGAATATTTTAAATAGAAATTTAATTCTCAGTCAATCATTAAAATCTTACAATATTTTGATATAAATCTTACAAAATTCTTCTTGTACGTTTTGACTACAATGCTTAAGCCCTCATCAGCAAAGAATCGAAGATAGAGACATCAAAAAATGCACCTAATATAGAGTATACTAGACAAGATAAATGAAAAAAATAAAATTACATTGTCCAATCCATCGATTAGAAGAAATGTTTTCTAGATGGAGACACGTCGTTTAATAGTAGCAATCCACAAAACATTTACAAAATTAAAAAAAAACAGATCCGCCACAGACAGTTACGGAATAAATAATATAGTAAATTGTAGAAACATATAGATGAAATCGCATTAAGATTGGACATAATAAAAGATATATCCTAACAACTTGAGTTTGAAAACAGAAGAATAACATTCTTCTGTTTAAACTCAAGTAATCAGGATCTAAAATTTTATAAAAACTTGTTCAAAAACGCATTATTATCGATCATAAAGAGAGGAATCTTTTACAAAAAATGATATCACAAATGTGGAAACTGCTTAGTATCTAATGTAGTGATAATTTTCACTGTAAAAGTTATCAAACACAAACATTCAAAAGCTTTGAATAAAATAAGTGAGAATATCTATTCCAGAATTAACAGTTAACAGGGAGTTAATATATAAAAGCTCATACAGAGATCTAAACGCTAGGATCATTTGATTTTCGATTTCCTTCCCATTATAGATATTTTGATAGTCACTATGGCTGTATCAACATGGTCCTGCAAATATTAATTTCTTTCCATCCAAGAATGTACTTACATGCAAAAGTTAGTAAAAAAGTTGAACTTCTTGGACACCATTGTAATCACAAACGAGGAAATGGAATTCGATTGGTATCACAAACCAATTTTTTCTGACAGATATCTAAATTTTATTTTCTCAGTACTCAGAATTTCAAAAATGTAGTACGATCATGGCTTTATGGACTAATCTTTACTTCTTCAAAAGTAAAGGCCGTATTATTTAAAAAATTAATGAGAGAGTGAAACTTTTAAAGGGTAAGTTGGACTTCAAATGCTTAGATAATGCAGTGAGAATTTAAATACTATATAGTCTTCAACATCTGCTAAATCGTGTACAGCATAAAATTCCAACATCGTGTACATCCAAAATTCTTGTCTCCGTTTCTCCTATTGTGTTCGAAAATACGACCACATTCTTCGTATTATCAGAAATCTGACTGGCTTAAAATTTGGTAACGTTTAATTCTCCATCTGTGCTGTCTTGTATTTTCTTTTCTACGCTCCAATATTTCTCTATATCTGCGACGTCTCCTTCAGTTGAACTCTGAGCATCATTCCTCTTGTCATCAGATACCAAAATTACTTATCTTTCCCCATATATCGGTCTACTAAGTTCCGTGCTGCTTTCTCTTACATCTCTGTCAAACATTTTAATTCCCTTCCTGATTCAATAAAAACCTCTCCTTTTCTATCTTCCTTTCGTTCCGCTGCTTCGCATTTCATTGCGTCACTCATAGTATTCAAATGAAACTGATGTAATTGATATGTTTGGGATGTATGCGCACGTGTATGTGTGTGAGTATATGTGTATGTATATGTGTGTAGGTGTATGTATGTATGTATATTTTCATATAGTTTATCTTTTATTGTTGTCTTATTCTGGTTTTGTTACTGATAGGCTTTGTAACAATCTTACTGACGCCTAACCATTTGCTAGCTATTATCTATTGTATTTATGTTTATGTGAACTGTAATCTACTGTATCATACTTTATGTCTATTACTCTGTTAATATATAGTCTTTTTTTATTTGTCTTTTTTATTTAATATATACTCTTTTTAGCTTTGCAATAAACTAAACTGAATTAAATAGTCCTTTAAATTGTTCAACAAAATGATTTTTCTTGAAATACAAACCCGACTGAACTATCGTAATAATATCATAGATATTCACATAGGCATCTTAAAAAGATTTTTATAACACTGAACAAGGTATTAAAATCTTTAAATAATTTTATTGTAAAAAATGTTACCTCAGGGAATTGAACCCAATGCCTTTGCTTTCAGTGCGAGCGTCTGTTACACTACCGAGGCCTTAATAATATTCATTGTAATAATTAGTACGATACGTATGGAAGCAACGTCTTTTTAAGCGTAAATAAACAATATTAAACAAGAAATCTTAGGACTGTAAATGTAAACAATCTTAACTAATTAAATTTTATCAAAAAGTAAAACTTAATTGGTACTATCTTTTATTTACTTAGCTCTAATGATATGTATAAAAAATTTGATATCAACAATTAGCGCCAAATTAAATTCCATGTAATTTGGATATAAAATTAAATAAATAATATTAACTTTAATGATATGCATCATTCGTACAAAAATTTGATATCAACAAATGACGCTAAGTTAAATCCCATACAAAATTAAATAAAGAATGCAATCTGTAATTACGTTACCTTATCCATTCAAGTGTTACCACACAAACTTAAAGAAGTAAACACTTGACGATGCTAGACCACGGTATTATAATGTTGAAAACATGAACGTAAAATAAGAAAAATGAGAAACATTTCCATAAGAGTAAAAGTACCTAACGTAAGTATATTTTTAATTGGGTTAAATATTCATATAAATTACGAAAGTTGGGCAAACTATTAGGTTGAAGTCTAAAATAAATAAATTTGAATTCATAATACTTGTGTGAAAAAGAAAAAAGAAATAAACAGTAAACTCTATTCTTATTTAGTTTAAAAAATATTCAGATTAAATTCATTATTAAAATTGTAATTATCTTTTATTTATTTTTAACTGTTACTATAATTTTTGAATTGCTTTTATAGTTTTTGTTATTCGATTTGGCAGTGCCAAGTGTTTACTTTTCTTACTTTTTGTGGTAACACTTGGACAAGGTAATGCAATTACGGATTGTATTCTTTACTTAATTTGGTATGGGATTTAATTTGACACCAGTTGATATCAAATCTTTTTTACGAATGATACATATCATTAGAGTTAAGTAAATAACAGAAGATAGTATTGTATTTTATTTTTTAATTTGGTAGAATTTAATTTGATTAGTTAAGATTGTAGCATCTGAGTTTTAATTTTTCATTTGATACATTTTTTTCGAAAAGTAATAATTTGTAAGAATTAAAGTTGTCATTATTGGATTGGAATAAGAAGACCTTCTATAAGAATATCCTTGAAGAAAAATAAAAAACTATCATTAATTGTGGTAACTTAGATTTTATTTAAGGAGCACGTATTCTTAGCCTTTTTATACTCTTTCTAAAAAGATAATTTTGTACTGATATTACGCATTTTGTAGTGACGAACATCTTCATATAAACAGCTTATCTTACAATTGACTTCAAGAAATAGATATTCATGTGTTTATACGAAATTTAAAGAGAGCCGAAATTAGCTTCTATTAATCTCTTTTTTTGTAAAATAATTTTTATATAATAAATTTTAAAAGAGAATTACAGATATAATTACTTGAGTCAGTAAAAATGTCAAGATGACGGTCATCTGTATTTTCCAAAGAATAATAATTAACAAATACCAGTAATATAATTTATATTTCGTATATATATTAAATTTTATGTATTATATATCATTGTTTCTATCGGATTTTAAATTGTTACGTCCAAACCCGTGGAGATTTCAAATTTATGACTAAGCAAATAATTTTGTTGTACAAACAGTTTTTATTAACGCTAAGTTAAATCGTCTAGGTTTGCGCGATCCTGCACACGAAACAAGCAATTTCGATCGATTTTTCGCGTATATATTTTCGATAATTACAACTTCTATTTCGGCGCGGATATCGTCAGCTAGTAAGTGCACAATTATAAGGAAAAAACTGGCGGAAAAGCACACAGTTTTAAAAGGAAGACTTTCTTAAAAGGAAGACTGCAATACTTTCTTTCTCGATTCGTTTATTCGAACTAACTAACGCCAGACCGTCCCATCTCCTTTTATGTTTTTCTAGATTGTTCGAGAAATTGCAAGAAAAATTATTCCACGGAAATGACATCGCTAGAGAACAATCTAGAATTATAGCAATTGTTGGCCAACAATTTTTGGAGATTGATTTTTAACGATCATCGAGAGGTGATCTGTCCTCTTTTGATAGACTGCCCTTCACGGGAGCGCCTCTCGCGATTGAGGTTCCGTTTGCGCGCAGAGATTCCCATTGGTCATTTGGCGATTTGCGCGCTATAACATCACGCGTGATGCAAAGCCACGCAAAACGCCGAATTTAATTCATCCGCGTTTTTGCGATGGGCAATTTGCGATCTACTAACTTCGCTCCAAACATTCCGCCCACCTCATTGATGTAACCAACGAAGAAGGACACAATTGCGATTGTCAGTATAGACGGTCCAATTCGCGAATCATTCACCTAGACGCGGCGCGACGCTCCAAATGTTTACGCGTGCATGCATGATCGAGATTAAATTATTGTTAATGCCATGAAATTAATTAGTTATTTGATAAAAGTCGCACAGCGTACTGTGCCCTATGAGGATGAAATTGAATGAGGATGATGGTGCCTAACACGTCAATGACGAACTCTCCACGGCTCGAATGATTAGATGGTAAATATACAGTGAGTAATGATTTCTATAATGAAATGATTTAGAGTGATGATTCTTGCGAACTTCCTCGTCGTTAATAAGTTATGTGTAAAAATTTCTGTTGAATTATGAAATATACATCGTAATTTATTAAATGAAAATTACATCCCAGCTAAGGTTCATCGAGGAAATTCAGGCGAAGCATTCAA